TTATTTTGTTCTTACATTCTCTGAGTGACAGGCATGGTTTCCATGGCAGCAAGACCCATGGAAGAAAGTGGTAAAAGAACAGATCATGTCATGATTCTGGAAGAATGTGTATGTTGTAGAGCTATTCTTACTTCAGGATAACTTATACATAACCTCAGTAGAACAGGCAGCATATTTGTTTAGCACGCAGGGCTGTTGAGGTCCTACTGCTTTTTGAAACTTTTTTCTTGTTTGAATTGGGTAAAATTGCAATAGATCCTTTACGTCACAGTAGCACCCAAGTGGTTATCATATTGCATTAGTTGCACGAGGTTTTGAGGAACATTATCCAGTATATACTGCCTCCAGTAAATACACCAGTCATGCTTATGGTTACACAGTCAGTGGCAGGAAATTTAGGATGACATTCCCTGCAGGTTAGTAATTCTACCCATTATTTATATTGGTTTGATTTGAAACTAGTTGAAGCTAAGTAATTTTTGAAGATTTTTCTGACAACTCAAGGGGAAAAATCAGAGAATAGGTATTTAAAATAAGTTAAATATCTTTGGATTAATTTTTTACAACCATCTAAATTTTTTCATAACATCAACTCATTGAGAAAGCAAAGACTTACTATGAACATAAGGCATTTCCCCTATCCAGTGAAACTACTTACAAATTCCTTGGAGGTAAAAATTTCAGTCTCACTTCAGGGAAACAAATAATAACCAATTCTTTAAAAAGTGAGATCAAATTAGTGATGAGTCTATGGCTGAGGTACTCAGCCCAATGTGGGAATGATGAAACATCATTTTGGCAGCTGAAGAGGTCTTCCCAGCTGGATGTCTTCTGGAACTGGGGGTTTATCATGTCTATGCCACAATACAGGAGTCAGTACTTTCAAATGGTTGTCATAACAGTGCAACGTTTTGATGCAAACATTGGATGACTGTAATGAATTTGACTAATAAAATCTGTGCTGTCATAGTGAATTAAGAGCAGATTATTTGAACTTCTCCTGTCGTTTCATAATTCTATCAAAGCAGTCCATGCTTCTTAGCTTAGTTTTCTTGGGAGGAAACAAAAATAAAAGAGGATGACCAATGAGACTAATCTTGCCCCCACATTTTGGTTTTGTCAAGAATCTGCATTCCCGGTTTGCCACTATGGGATGGGAAGGAAGGTCTCTGTAAGTGTTCAGAAAAGGCAAGATGGTACAGATAGGACACAAAGTGTCTATTCCCTTGTTTTCTGATTGGTTAATGGATTTTTATAAGTCTAGGAATGGTAGTCAAGCCTCCAATTTAGAGTAATACTTAGTTTCCCTGTTGTGTGTCATGGATACTTCATGATTGCCAGCCTTCTTTTCTTGTCCCATCTCAGATGGGCTTCTCTCTTGGCTGCAGAGGCTGTAAGTGAGTTGAGGAGAAACTGTCCTATGCTGGGTGAATTATCTAGGTATAAAAGACTAAGATACATCCTGTTCTTGAGTCAAATTCTGGATCTTTGGAATATTCTGGAAACTGTGGCCTGGCTCCATGGTCTGGAATTAGCACTGTATGTGTCTTGTGAGAAGAGGTCATCCTGGGCCCTTCCTCTACTCTTGACTGGGCAGATGTACTCCAAGGTCACTTCTAGATCTTCCTCTGACCTTATGCCTGTGTCATCCTTTCCCTAGTTCTTTTCCTGACCACTTCTGGCATTTTGTATTCCCCTAAAGCAATTCAGGTCTTCTGGAATCTTTCCCATCTGACCTTGTTTTCTTTTTTGACAACTGGTTAAAAAAGATCTCTCTCTTTTCTCACATGGTATGGATTAGGAGTTATCTGAGAACAGTAGTATAATTTTATTAAGAACAGAATTTGTTGTACACAATGTTAATTGCTTGACATGAGAACTCTGGAATATGGAAGTACTGAGCGAATAAAGTGGTGGCTTTGCAAACATGATGACCTGTATTTGAGCCTCCAGACCACATGTGAAAACAAAACCACAACAACAACAACAACAGAAATCCCAAACAAACAAACAAACAAACAAAACCTTGAAGCACAGGGTGTGTGCTTCAAATCCCAGTCCTGGGGAGGTGGAGACAGGTTGAACCGGGATCTCTGGCCTGCCAGCTTATAACACTTAGAAAGTTTATGGCCAGTCAGAGATCTTGTCTCAAAAATCAAGATGGACAGTTCCTGAGAATCAATACCAGAGATTATCTTGTGTCCTCCACAGAGGCAAGCATGCACATGAACACACTAACAACCATAGAAGAAATTATTATCTGATGTGTTTTCTTAACATAAAAATTATTCAAAAGAGAGTCTTCTCCTGTGAGTTAGTCAGTTGTTGAGGTTGCAGAACCATGGGAAGGGAAGATTTCAGATGGCAGAAACTCTCCTTGGGAAGATGCAGTTATCTCTTTGTTAAGTGATTGAGTTAGTGTTGGCTACTTAGAATAGAAAGGACTATTGGGACATCTTTTGGCTTGAGATTCTCAGACAATGAAGCCAGACAGAACCAAACTCAGTTCCCTGGTTGGGGGTCAAATCTGTAATATTAACTGATGTCTAACTTTCCTGAAAGTAACTTACATATGCTCGCAAGGCCTTGAACAATACATGTCAGCCTTCCATTTGCTTCTCCACAACAACTTTTGGTTGATTACACATCTTAGCTATAATGTTTTATCCCCTCCTCTGAAACATTATGCTTTAAGAGTTGTATGCCATTGGCCATGATGAGACAGAGAGCCTAAGATGATTGAAAGATGCACTAAGTGACTTTATGAGGAAAAACCAATGCAAGTGACAGTGACAAGAAAGCCTTATTTTATAAGAATTGCTATGTCATTATTTTTCTAGATAATCATAATATGACTAATAATTTTTATCACTGGAATAAACCCAGTATAATCAAGTAAGAACAGACTGAGTACCTATCTCAAGCCTAAATAGTTAGATAGAATTGATGTACAAAGAACAACAGAAGTGAGTAGAGTAGATTATTTCATTGTTCTAAGGATTCATTTAGCTTATGTTGGCTTTATGTGTTGACATTCAATTTGTTAATTCATGTCAAGAGTTCATTGTTCATATTTTCCTCCCAGAAAAGTATTCTAGAAATACACAAAATCAGAAAATGCTAGGAAGTGTGTATTAATGTATCTCATAACAAATTAGAAAGTATGAATGAATATGTGTTGTGTAAATACATACAAAATCTCCATAAGACATGTAATTCTAAGCTCCTGATAATATGTTTTTATTGGTGTACATTCCAAATGATGTTTAGAAAATCAGATCCAGTGACTTAGGGGGAATAAGCAATGGTGGATCTGCTCTGGATCACTTGTGTTAAATGCTGAAGGAGAGCACTTTGCTCCTATTGCTAGTAGCTTTCGCTAGGCTCATTGTATTCAATTCAAAACACATCCGTCATTTTCTAGGTACAAACACATTCAGAAAATCACTTTAGGAGAGTAAGTACTCTTGTGTGGTTATAATTTCCAATCAAATTCAGTACTTTTGGCATTGGATTAACACACGCTGTTCACATTCCCATTCAGTGGTCCTTGGCAGAAAGCAGCTTCCTATTTTGAAGGAGGAGAAACTAAGAACTTCTAGTTATTTTCTTAAGCGGGAAATGTCTCCAGTTGAAGGGGAGAGAGAGAAAGAAAGACGGGTAGAAAGGGAGATACAGAGAGGGAGAGAGAGACCAAGCTTTTGAATGTCAAATGGCTCTTACAGAAAAATATTTGATGAGTTAAGTATAAAAGAATAAGAAACATATGGATTAAATTTCACTTAAAATACACATGGGCTTAGAAATTAAGAGGAAAGTATTTGGCAAAATGTGGTTTTAGTTTAGTCAAATCCAAAGTTTGAGACTAGATTAAGACACTGAACAAATGCAAACCATACCTGGCATTAGACATCTGCTAGTCTGATGACTACAAAAATCTTTGATGAGGCTTTTCTTCGACCATGGATGGTACCTGAGTTTGCTGTGTGGTACCTGAATCTTCTAAGGATGCTGCGAGCCAGCTAGCTTAGTAAGCATAGAGCTCGGCACTTTGTCAACAGCTTTGTTTTGATAAAATTTCTGAGTGGGGGGACTTTTACTAATGAAGAAAATCAATAAGTATTATGTTAATAAGTTAAATGTTTATAGCATTATAAACATTTAAGCAAATGCATTTTACTAAAACGTTTAAATATTTAAATTACTTTAATATGTTGGTGTATGTCAGTATACCATTTTGTGTTAATATGTGCTTGGGCATATCTTACAAGTCTCTTCCCTTCTTTAAAATTGATGGTTTTAATCATTATTATTTAACACATAATAGTGTGTGTGCGCACACGCATGCACACACACACACATATGCATGCACGCATTCTCTTGAGTGCTTTTGTGCATTCACACACAGGCCCTGGTGCCTATGTGGAAGTCAGAGGACAACTTTCCATAGTTAATTTTCTTCTGTCATGAATTCTGGAGAATCAAACTGATGTCATTGAGCTTAAGTGTCAAACATTTTACCCCTTGAACCAATTCACTGGACACTCTAACTGTCCCTAACTGTCCATTTCCTACGCCATCGGACACCTTGTCTCTGTTGCCTTCTGATACCTAACACGTGTACTCTTACTGTGATCATACTTTCGTCTTGCACTTATTATTTCTCTTCTCAGAATTTCAAACTCAATTTGTAAAAATTTTCTGTCCAGTTGATCTATAGTTTTCAAAGACAATAAGCAAAGATTTTTGTGGGTATGGGTGGAAGTATTTTAACAGACTTTTTAAAAAATAACTTCCTACCCCATCTTTCCTAGAGCTATCTCTCTTAAATTAATTGTATTTTATAAGTGGATAATTTTATATTTGTTTAGAATTACTTTGTGTCTAGTTTTGATCAAGGGCAACTTTATGTACATCTCTCACATTACAATCTATACAAAGTAAATGTGTGTCTAAAAGCTATAAAAGCTATAGGGCAGATATGAAATAAACAGTAGATATGAGTTTAAGTTGTATTTTATTCACTCTATTTCACTGAAGACAAAGAAGCAGCAAGTTCATGTTCCAAGTAATGAGAATTTCCCTGAAGTGTACACATGTGCCATAGTTGAATGAAGTTTTGGTGAGTGAGTGCCACTTGGTTTTCTAGGCAGTCAGAAGTTGTGTCTGATTTTGGATATATATAGTCAAGAGTTCCAAGTTCCAAGACCCTCTGTGGTGCCGTCTACACTTTATGCTTGAGACACTTGGCTAGGATTCCATTTATGTGTCCGACAGGGTCTCATATGATGTGGCTTCTCTCCCACTGGGCTACACAGGATATGAGCAGGGCTCTGGCAACTTCTGAAACAGGAATGAGTGAGGCTCTTGTGGAGAAAACTTAAAAAGAGAAAAAAAAAGAACTCTTTGGACTTGTAGTCATTGGCAGCTTGGCTTGCCTGTCTGGGAACAGACCTTGGCACACAGAACTGAGAGATACCCAAACAAAGATTTGTTCAATTTGATAAACTCCCTGGCTAAGACTACCTTGTCAACCCTCTTCCTAAAGTAAAGTTTCAAAATCAAGAGTCTGTAATGGAAATACTGATAGATCCAACTGTTGTGAAGTTACAGCACCCCAACATTGCTATCATAGTTTATAATGGAGGAGTGGTAGGAAGGAATGGTATGTTTGCTTCATGGCATCCTTCTCTTTACTAACGCCTACCAAACGTCCTCATGGCAAACTGCTTCCCACTTAAGACCCTCGGGGGGCCCCTTTCTGTGGATACAAATGTTCAGATGACTAGCTTCCATTCAGGCTTGAAAGCAACTGTTACTTCATCATCATATTCTAGCTCTGAATTTGATAAAGAAGATTCAGGTCCACCACTGGTGCCTTTGTACTCACTGGTTAAGGGTTTTCTGAAAACTCTTCTATGTTTCAGCTTATTTACCCAAAGAGACATTTATGAAGACAAACTTTCTTTGTGGCTACTGGGCGGCAGAACAAAGTTACTCTATTGTCACACTGTCCATTATGGACTAGAAAGTAAAATTGCATTACAAAAAATTAACATTTTAAATGAGGTGCAATCTTTGAATAGATACATCATACAAAGTTAGTTTTATAACTTTTAAAATTCATATTTCTTGTCAAACCTTCAATTTTATTCAGTTGGCCACATTTCATACATACTCAGATTGAATGCAATCAGAAATCCTGGTCAAAAACCAAGGAATAAATCGTAAATGATTATTCAGAAAAGTAATTAGCTGCATTGCTACGTATCCCTCAGCTGAGAATTGACACCAGTTTTTGAGAAATCCACATTTAAGTATATTTTAAATGCTAGAAAAATATGATGTACATACCTTAGTATTTGAGGTTTGGAAATGGTTACTTAAGAGGCAAAGAAAAGGGAGGGGGAGGCTGGTTGGTCAAACATATGCCTTTTGTTTTGTAAAATTTTGCATAAAGGTCTGCATTTGGCATACGGGCTCCTTAGTAGAAAGGAGAAGGAAGGTACAGTTAACAAATTAATGAAAAGCAAGTGAAGCCTCCCTCTGAAGAATTCTTAAGTGAACCTCAACCAATGCCTTGGGCTACATGTTCAATGCGAACAAAAAAATGAAGGTGAACTAGCCACTGCTACTAAGAGTCAATTGACAAAATGCATGGGTCATTAATTTTGTGTCCTTTGTTTTGTCAGTGTGTTTTCATGAGGCCTGGTAAAGAAAGTAAAACCAGTGATGCTGAAAATTGTCTGCTCTGTAGCTCATTTCCCCTCCCAGCATGCACTGGCCCAAGGGAGTGGGCTTCAGGTCTCCAGCCCTGACTTCCCTTCCTAATATTCCTGGCTCCTGCGAGTTTGAGAAGGGTTCCACTGCGTTGGTTCTGTGAGTAATTCTTTGCAAGTTTGTGCTTAATCATATGCAGAACCTAAGTCAATGAAAAGTGAGATGTTGGCTCATGATACTTTCTTGGATTTTAAAAATAATTCTTGAACCAGGCTTTGCAAACTCAGCTGTATATGTTATGGGAAGGCAGGGTGTGAGATTTAAGTTGGTTGGCTTATCCTAATTCATGATTCTTTCATTAGCAGGAACCCCCGAGAAGCATCTCCTGACTCTTGGTACTATGGATGAGTGATAGGACTCCAACTGCCCACAATGTTGCTGTAGCATACTGGGGTTCACATTTGGCCTTCAAAATGTATTCTAAGCCATTGTGCCCAGATGATTTTGCATATCAACTGTTCCATAATCCCATATCCTTAGAGTCTAGATTCTATCACATTTTATGACCACATGACTCCATTTAACAAAGGATCTTTAGGGACTGAAGTTTTTAAAAGCTTATAACCTTATTAGAATAGGTATGCAAATCTCAGTAACACTTTGTAAGTCCCAGAAGTAGGAAAGACACTACTGGTCTGAATTAGAGTAGCCATGCCTCTGCACTAGGCAGGGGGCAAGGTAGATTGACAGATCTTGGACAAACAGTATTTTCATGTTTTGTTGATCGACTTCTTCAAGATAGTCCAGGAGTCCTGGAATTGCCTAGTTATCTGGTATTTCCTGTAGAGAGTTCTGCAGGCACACTTTTCCTATCAATGATGCTAAATAGTGATAATAGATGTACCAGAATGTAGGAGGTCAGCGTGGTTTTGTGTCAGGGCAATTTTTCTCTCCATTAAAAAAAATAGATTTCTATTTTATTCATTACTATTTGTGTGTGTGTGTGTGTGTTTGTAGAGTGTGAGTATGTGTATGTACATAGTATGTATATGTGTGTTTCATGGCATGCATGTAGACCTCAGAGTTAAACTTTCGGGAGTGGGTTCTCTCCTTCTGCCATGGCTTCTGGGTATAAGAGTCCAGTCATAAGATTCACATAGAAATTATATTGATCTGTTGGGCTACCTTGTTGGACTTCTCCCCCATTTTCTGTAAGTAGTTATTCACTGACTTGGTAGTGGGGTTTTTTTCCCCTACTCATTCATTCATTCATTCATTCATTCATTGGGAAGACCTACTTGAATCATAAGTGTTAGGTAAACAGAAGGATTTTAATTCCTAGCCTAACGAATCTCCATTTTGTTGTCTTTGAGACATGAATAAAGAGAAGGAAGGCCTTTATGTGTGTGTGTGAGAGAGAGAGAGAGAGAGAGAGAGAGAGAGAGAGAGAGAGAGAGAGAGAGAGAGAGAGAGAGAGAGAGAGAGAGAAGCCTGGGCCTCTACTTATATATGGGCCAAATAAATAGAGACTTCCTTGTATTGATTAGGCAGTACTTGTATAATAAACTTCTGTAGACTTCATAGCTTGGCCAGTGTCCCTTCAGAAGCTTCTCTCCTCAGCTCAAAAGTCACTTGCTGCATGTGTCCTTGCTCCATGGCCTTTCTTCGTGCTTGTGAACCACTGCTACCTCATTTGGTATTTCGTCATTTAGGACACTAGTAAATTGAATCCATGATCTACCTAATTGGTCTTATATTAGGTTATCATTTTGGATGTCTAATCACCAAATAAATATCAGCTCTAAGGTGGTGATGGTTGAGATATAATCATATTTATTTGGGGAAGTCAAATTTATTACCAAACAATGTCCAGAAGTACATCCTAGAACAGATTATGTATGCCAGGTGTGCAATGTTACTCTAAGAATTTATACAATGAAAACTGATTGGGAAGTTTTTTGTTTTGATTGATAATAAAGCACTGACTGTATGCAAATCAATCACCAAACTAGACTTTTCCCTTGGGAAGACCTACTTAAATGACCAGAAGACTGGAGCCACCCTGATTGCTGAACCCTAATGACTTCACCAATGGTTTGTCACTTCAGGCTACAAATTATAATTATCCCTTGAGATTCAGACGAATTGCTTTGGGTTGATTTCCACAGATAACGTTAATATGATATGGTTTAATTTTCAAATGCTTATGTAAAAAATAGCTAATGCATTTTACATGGTACCAATTATTATCCTAACTCTTAAACACATTATCTTATTTAATCTAAAGAAGGAGTGTATGGGTTATGCAGTATGATAATTTTGTTTTCAGAGTTGAGGAAATTGAGTAGTTTGGCAAAAGTTACTCAACTCATATTGTATTGACGTAGGACCCAGTCCAAGCCAATTTTACCATATTTTTCTTGGTTTTGAACTTATACTTCTCATCTTCCTGCCCTTACACCTCCTGAGGGCTGGGATTGTGCACAGGGGCCACCATGCCCAGTTTGTGCTATGCTAGAGACTTTACCAAAGTCTCTGGCACATGCTCTGTAGGCAGTTTATTAACTGGGGTCCATGCTTTACCTTCTACCACATTTTAACAATGCAATTTGGATAAAAGTATTTTTTTGTGTAGATGTGATCGTGGTGTTCAAAGATTCAGACTGAATGTAGGTTAGTGGGATTCTAGGTTTTAAAAAAGTTATTTATAATCAAGACTAGTAATTGTTTAATAAATATTCACATGCACTGTTTATATTGCTATAATTTCAGACATAATTTCGAGAAGTGAATTTAAAATACATTCCACTATTTCATTGAAGTACTTTGTCTGTCCTAGAAGAACTAGCTAGAGGATTCCTATTCCCAGCTAGGATCTATTTTAGTAGTTGATCACTCCAAGAGGAAGGGCTGTGTGCCCTCTCACATTATCATAGGGCCTGAAGCAAGCCCAATAAAAACCAAAGAACTGCCTCAGTGACTTTACATAATGAGGCATTTAATGGAAAGAACAACCGAGTAAGGAGTAAAGGCTCAAGAGGAGATGCAAATGCATGGAAAGTACACACCAAGCTTCCATGCAGAGTTGAGAGTGTTTAATTACTTTGTGGAGATAGGAAAGCATTTAGTCGATCACAAACTTGTGGACCACATCTTAGTAAGCTGGTTTAGCAGCTACAGTTTGGGAAGGAACTGTGGATACAGCATCATCCTTACAGGTATCTGACATCATCTGCTGCATTTTAGAGTTTGGGAAGCATAGTCTCCCACTTTAAACCACCAGCCAGTTTATGTTCCAATTTTGCATTGCAGAATTTTCAATATTTTTCTGAGAGGATAAAATAGCTAACCCAATTGCCTTCATGATCTATCAAAGCAAGGACTGAACTGTTTTGTTTATCTGACGACACTTTTAAGAAAAAGAGTAGCTCTAATTTTTTTTCCAAATTAGCCTCAAAACTTTTTCTTCAGAGATGGATTAGCCTAAAAAATATCATAGTTTAATTGCATTCTTGCTTGTTATGTATAAATCAGAATCAGGGTCAATATCTGAGAGAATGTTCCATTTACTCCAAAGAGAAACGTTGACTTTTATTTGGAAAAAAAGTCTTGGCAGACAAGCAGGGAACTCCAGATGGAGGAGACTATGCCACATGGATTCTAAGTCCCCCTCTCTTCTTATTGATGGCTTAAGTTGAACATGTTCCGTCTGTCCACTCTCAATAATGAATAGAGACTTTTTTATTGTAAAGGTAACAAATTCCATATAGGGTAAATGAATTCAAGCATATAATGAAACGTGCAAGACTCAAAGCTCTGCACTGCATAGATGGTGAGGATTATGTGTGAAGTATGGAAATCCAATCCAGTTTCTGGACTGGACTGTGCTTTTACATGGAGGAAACCTGAGAAAAATTCTCTGAAGATTTCAGTTTTGTTCTCTTCCAGGGATTGAGCATCTGAATCGCGGTTTGGAGGAATTATTTGAACCTGATTTTATTTATTTTTTTTTATTATTAGCTCTATGGAAAGGATGGTTGAAAACTGAGTTCTTTCTCTACACCAAAATACTCCTTCATCATACAATGAGGTAAATTGAAGGACACTAAACAATCCACTTAAATCCAGCATTTCAAATATAATATACAGACAATCATAGCTTTGACCCTTTCAAAACTAGCTCCTTTGAGAATCTTACTTTGTTTCTTAGAGTATCAAGGAGGTTGACATCCCCCCACTTAATGCTAGTGTAACCATTATTTGGTTTTTACATGTTTGACTATGGCTAATGTTATTTCTAGTGCCTATGTTTTATAATATCAATAATACATTACTGTTTTTGTATACTTAACTTATTTTAAGGGACCTAACCTTTATTCTTTCTCTTATTAAATTGTTGCTGAAAATCCTTCCAATAGAAAACTTTTCTTGCATTGCTTAAACAAGGCTCAGATTTAAGCAGGTGTTTAGTCTATTTTCTCTACACCTATTTTTAAGGCTCGGTTTTTAATTATCTGTGTGTGGGGGGCGTATTACATCTGTCTGTCTGTCCATATACTCTATGTGGCAGCAAAGTCTGTAATGCTGCCTCTATACAGTTAAAGATATCTTATTTAACTTTTGATGTAACAAGCCTATTTTTCCATGACTGGATTGCATGTTCTCTTCTCCACTCTGGCATGGGAAGAATCTCTTTCATCATTTGTAGATAACTGAAGCTAACCAAACTCATTCAAGTCGAAACCAGCACTGCCATGCTTTATTCAGCACCCAAGTTCAGATGCAGAGCTCTCCCAATGGTCCTGCTTCTGCAATGGCACGTCAGAAACTCAATGTTTCTCTAATTTTCCTTTCCTTAATGGAGGACTAAGAATTTAAAGGGCCTGGGCCATTCACGTGGTCTGAATCCCCAGGGCTTGGGTGCAGAGGTCTTACAAAAATTTAGTAAGTGAGAAGGAGAACAAAGATTCTTAGTTGGCGGGGAAAATTTTTGATCGCCTGTGGCTAAGAAGCTGAGGGGGACAGGTAGGCACAGTGGGGTGCAGGATAATGAGGCGCATGGCAAATGTGATGCACAGATGTTAAGCCAACTGTAGCTCCGGCTCCCACAGTGGTGCATGCCGTAGCACCATGCCCCAAGGCTATGTCTACACCAGAACATTTGGGGCAGTAAACGACAGCAACATTAGGTTCAAATTAATCTATTATCCAGAGCTGTGAAATGTTGGTTGCTTGTTTCAGAATTACATTGCCTGTGGGTGAAATGTTTTAGGTAGATTTTAATGCAAGCTCATGACTTGCTGAGGAGATGAAGTGGAGAAAGGGAAATTAACAGTTGGGAGAGTTGCGGAGGGCACAGTTCTGGTTAAAGTATATGAAAAAGTATTACATATTTCACGGGCAGGTCTGGTCTCCTGTTGGCCACCTGCTGGGACTGAAATATCCCACATCATAATGAAGGCAGGTTTGCAGAACTCTTGTAAATACTTGAGCCCTGCAATTGAAGACTGCAGACAAAGGCGGCTTTGGGGTCTCCTGCAGACTTTGGAGGAGTAGGTCTGTCAGACGGTGCTCCAAATGAATTTGGCAATATATTATCCTACACTTGTTAAGTAGGACATGCAAAATCTCACAATTGGGTCTTTGCTCTCCTGAGTTTAGACTCGATGTAACAGGTAGCCTTGTTTCAAGTATTTTTCAAAGTAATCTTGTCATGCTTTCTACATTCATTCCACTGGTATTGGTAGGTCCATTTTCCCATACCTGTGTGGTATTTAACCCTCTATTTTCCCAAAATAACCCCCCAAATAAAAAAACCAAACCTCAAATTAACCTATAACTTTTTTGTCAATTAAATGGTTTATTCAATCAGATGAGAGACCAAACCTGCTTGGGAATATCTATAAAGAATTTTTTTTACAATATTGTAGTTTTTCTTATAAAAACACTTAATTGAAATGCCTAAGAGCTGCCCAGCACAAAAGTCAATAAAAACCCTAGAATAGAGTTTATAAGGGTTGTCTATGTACATAATTAAATCCTTCAGGCACTTTAAAACTCGGCAAAATAAATGGTTATGCAAGAATAGCCTGCTGAGAGAAGAAATGCTTGTATCAGCTTTAAGCAGCTGCCCTGTGTTCTATGTTTCTGGGCTGGAATGAGAAAGCTATTAGAACCCTGGAGGACTGTGAGCCACATACAAATCATCTTTGTTACTCACACTTGGGGGGTACTTTATAGTGGCTGTCAAGGCCACTACGAAGCATGGTTTGTGCCTGAAAAAGTCAAGTGCCTTCACTTAAGAAGGAAGATACCAGCTATCCAAGTGACTGAACAACATCCAGGACGCTTGCTGGGCCTGGTTGTTAGGGGTGTAGATTTATTACTGTGCTCGCTCGACTGACGTAAACTGACATGTGCATTTGCATTCTAGATTTGATGGACTAACAAGGGTTAATTACTTGCAATGATCTATGTGGAGCACGAGTGGAAGGGAAGAACCATGTTTCGATTTCATTTCACCCTTGTTCTTCAGGGAGCATCTAAAAGGGTGGGATTACTATGTGGGGGAAGGGGGAGGGTGCGAAGGGGTGGAGGATTAAAAAGAAAGCTGTCTAGTGAATGCAACCAATAGAAAAAAGTCCACTGTTTGTGCCCCCCCCCGGCCCTCAAAGTTATGATAAATGATAGCACAAGGGAAAGATAACCTACCAGGAGAGTGCGATCGCCAAGGCCAAATACTAAAACTCCCAGCTGACGGGGCTCATACACTGCAGCCTCTGTTCGTGTTTATTTTTTCTGCTCACTCTTGGTTTCGTCAATCAGTATGATAGACGATAAGTCCTGACTAGAGCAGCCCGCGTCCTGCTCTCTCACGGTGGGTAGCATGTTGTGGTTGGCGCCGCGCAGTCGGAGCATCGCCCGCACCCGGAGCAGCAAGGGATGAGGTTCGAGCAGCTTCCAGCAGCCGACTCCTTGGAGAATACCAAGCAGGGACGTTATCAGAGGAGTGTGGGGCTGCCAAGAAACTGACCACACATTAGTACCTTTGTTTGGGTAGAGTCTAAGGGGGCTGTAGCTCAGACTTGAGACACTTTCTGTTAAATCATCCCTGGTGTTAAGTGTTAAAAGAAAAGCTTGTTCAAAAAAAAAAAAAGAAAGAAAGAAAGAAAGAAAAAGAAAAAAGAAAAGAAAAGAAAAGAAAGAAAGAGAAAGAAAAGAAACCAGGGCTGATGGCCCCAGGCCAGTTAGGACTGAATTTGTGGACATCCTGGGATGAAGTACATCAATTTAAAGGGAAAGAAGAAATCCTTTTTAGTCTCCTCTTTACTTCTAAAAACACTGTCTGCTGCAAAACAGCATAAAAAATTCCTGTAAGAGAAGCCTGTGGGCACAATGGGGGTGGGGTGGAGGATGAAGTACTACTTAGGTCGCCAACAGCTCATCAGATAAATGGAATTTCCTGAATGCTATCCGCAGATACTGATGTTGTTTATCTAGTCCCTCAGAACTAACACTGCATTTCTTCCTAAGAGAAGGGTTTTTTTCCCCCTCTCTATTTCAGACATTGGAAACTTTTAGAAACATTTTGATATCACTAATTTTTTTTCTTAGTTCATTTTGTAGGAGCTCAGTGACTATAAAAAATCAAGAATGTCCTGACTTGATACAGTGAATGAGCCAAAGTGAAATTCTTTTGATATCTTGTGATGCAACATTGGTCAGACATTTCCTGTTCGACATTTTTTCCCCTGGATATTATGGTTTCCTTTCTTAAGAACAGATGCACTGGACATCTTGAGTTCTCCTCTGTCTGAAATTTCCAATGAGTGACCCACACCTTCCCTCCAAAGCTTGCTGTTTGCTAGGAGGAGGTAAACGTGACAGCTCTCTGTGTATATACAGCTTTTCTCCGCTTCAGAAACTTTGTGGTTGTGTTAGAGAATGTTTCCTCCTACCTTAAGACACATTCCCTAAATAAGCCATGTACTTTCTCATTCCGGCTTCTTCCAGTCCCTGGTGTGGTTCCTTGGAGCTGCTGATGTCTGTTAAGGTGAAACTCAACACGGGAATATTAGTTTTATTTCAGTTAATTATGTTACTAAGAGCTCATGAACCTTAAGATTTAGGGTTGGTCTGTTTCTAGTTAGGCTGCCAAGTTTTCGACTTGATGGAGGGGTCTGTTTCATTCTCCGTGGCCTCTGCACCTCTGTAACCCCTGGCTTCCTCTTTTCCTGAATCACAAGTTACGTTCTCCCCTTCTGTGAGAAGATTGAATGCTTATTCAAGTCTGAAATGACTATGGTCACAAAATATCAACAGTGATTTTTAATAGATCTTTGCCTATCAAAATATTGTTGCTGAATAACAGGGTAGAGAGGCAGTTGTGGCTGCTGATAGTAAGGAATCTGACTGTTAATAAAAAGCAGACAGGGGGCTTGAAACAGTACTTCTACCGTTGCAATTTAGACACTTTATATTACTTTATTTAGTGCAACACCTGCAGCTACTCACATTGCTGGTGGCTGAAATAATCCAGGTCCACACAGAGCAAGTATTACAATTTCATTGTGCTATTTGTGCTTACTGTTTAAGCCTTTCTCACAGGAGAAAACATTAGTTAAGTGTACAGTAGATAATAAAATGGGGGATTTGGGGCTCATCTGTAGCCCTTAAATCTTCCTATGAAAAACCTCCCTTTGTAATTTGTATCTAACTCTTCTTGTACCTCTGACTGGCACCTGGCAGTGTACAGTGCTACACGCCCTGGTTGAGGTTTGTTTAGTTGTCTCCACAGATGGTGGACTTTATGTTCAGGCCCTCTTGTGAGCCTTGGCAAGTGTAAACTTCCTAAGCCTTCTGCAGATGCTGTAATGGATTTCGGATGGAAAATGATTGCATCTCAATGGGACAAAGAGGGTGCTTCACATTAAGGCAATAATAACAAGTCATTCTTCATCTTTAATTGACAGCCCAATTTAGATTTCAGATGGGTGCTTTTTAGTGATGTTCTACTTTAATTTTAACTCTGAAGGGCTGATACACATGGATATATAGGTCTGATCTATAAACAGTTCAAATGAAGCAAACTTCTTATTCAGGCAAAAAAAGAGAAAGGGATGTAGGGTACAAGTTGGGGACCAGTTAAAACCAAGCTTGGGGCTATTTCTCCCTCATCTGTCTTAGAATGGTGCACAGTTCAGTGGATTCATACCCCTTGGCTTTAATTGCTCTGGGCCCATTGAGACAAAGCCATGGTATTCTGCTTGTTTGAGGGTCAAAGAAGTCATCATTAAGGCCTTCCTTCAGAATATTTTCAAGTGTTTGGAGAAGTAAATCGTTTTTAGAGATTTTCTAATCATGAGACGAGTTTCCAGATAGCTGCCTCACTTCCTTAGCTCTGCTGGCTGGAGTTTATTTGGTCACTGAAACATTAAGCTTAGCCAGTCCTGTTCTTTCTACTTTATGAAAATGTAGGCAGGAAATTATCAGCAAATTGCTCATTTAGAATTAAAGGCAGGAAATGAACTTCAGTAGTTGAATTCGTGCTGTAAAAGCTTCTACCTAAAACATAAGTAAAGCCAGAAAACCATGCCTTTTTTAGTTGTAAGTCTGGGTTTTGTTATATCAACACAAATAGATACTCTGTCCTATTTCTTCCCCAAATTTGTAAATATTCTTACAGGATCTATAACTATTTGTTATTAATTTCCTAGTAGTTTAAAGATATAGCTGGTCATTCTGATTTTTAACCTTTCATAAAAATGATTTCTTATAGTGTATTAATAGATTAATATAGGTACAACCCAGAAAGAATTACTTCATTAATTTACTCTAGAATACAAAAAATGTAAATATCTCTTTAAGTTTCCAAACTATTTTTACCTGAATTTCCAGAACTTCCTATTAAAATCTTGCTTACAACATATGAATATATATTCCTAAATAGTTACTATTTTTCCACCATGGGACCTTTTCAAGCTATTCCTCTTTGAAGCTTATTAATCATATTTTATTCCTTGCGTGTTATATTGTTAGTATGTCCAATACATCAGTGGTATCTACAAAATAATTCCTGTACTTAATTTTCTTTTATATTTTTGTGCTGTCATTTTTATTTCTCTATATATTTCAAATGCTCTAATATTCTTTAAAGTTTTCCTTATTGGTATTACGTTATTTAAATAAACCACAGACATAATTCTCCTCCAACCAAATGATGTGTACCATGTCTGACTGTTTTGATTACCATTAAGGAAAAATGAATTGCCTTGGATTAAACGAGAAAAAACCTTCAAACTTCAGCCCAACTTTCAACCACTTACCTAACTGAGCTTGGGGAAGTCAGAAAATGTTGGTTTTAAATTTTACTTTATTTTTCACTTTCACAAAAACTCATATGTAACACTTCTTTTAGAATTTTGGAGTTTATAAAGGACAAACATTATTTAAAAATATATAGTATTCATCTTTTATTATAGATCCTTGCTACAAAACTTGTGATGAAAATGTAATGCATTAGGTAGATTAAAATAAGTACAAGTTATTCTTGGTATTTATTGACACTAAAACTTTATAGACTCAATCATGTTAAGTTTCAGCATGACAGTTTATAATTTTTATTAAATATATTATTGAATAATAGTTATAGATAATCTTAGATGTCATTGTACCGCCATTAACATTTAAACGGAAATATCTGTAGCCAAATTCTATAGAAGGTCTTATTTAGATGAAAGGAGCTTCTTGACCAGATGTAGTTTTCACACTCAACATTGTGTCTTAATCCAACTTTTAGAACAGAATCCACAGGGTAATTGACAAAGATATATTTCCAGGTTGTTTAATAACTACTTTGTTCATGGATGCATTTAAGGTTATTTGTTGTTTGGTTCCTATTTGAGTTTTTCTTACATTTATTTGAAGTGTGCAATAATTTCAGTGTGACTTTGTATAAGTATAAAATTGCTGTGGTCAATTTAAGGTAGTAGCTTTCCATGCCTTTTCTCATGTTTCACTGAATTTTTTTATAGCCTTGTGACCCTAGCTTCCTAACATATGAGTCTGTACTAAGAGAAACATGACTATACTGGGAAGAAATCTAACTTACATCTGAACTCAGTGTCCATCATATCTGGCATTTGCAGATGCTATCAACCTTTATGAATTTAAGAGATTTTTTGAGGATGTTGTTAGTGTTGGAGGAAAATAATAGTGAGAAAAACCAAGTTAAGAAAGTTAAGCGTCAGAAAACAAAAAACAAACAAACAAGCAAACAAACTCCAGGATAAATTTTAAGGGACAAAGAACTTTTTTAAAATGCCAATCTACAATTACAACTTTAAATTGTCTGCTATAGTCATCTTACACATTCAGATTGAACTTCAATATTTGCTGTTACAGTCTGGAAAGTTCTTTTTTTTTTTTCAAAATGTTCTTCCCTCTACTAGTGGGTAGATGGTAGAAGCTCTTTAGGATGATAGGAACAGAACGTAGTAGACAGACTCCTTGGCCTTATGACATCTCCATCCTATTGGACACAGACAAATTACACAACAACAATGAAAAAGTAATGCACATGGTGACCAGTGTCATGAAGATAATATAGGGTCTCTGTAGGGAGTGGGGGAGGGGTGAAGGTAAGACCACACTGAGACACAATTTTACATTGCAGTCTTTAGTGATCACACGGTGTTTATCTGGACTGTCAGTTGGAACCTATTTAGGCAAAGTCCCTGACTGTCATATTCAATGACAAGATAATAAATTTCAGCATCAGATGCATTAAAGATGTTCCATTTTTAGCTAGACTTGTTACATTTTTAATGCAATCAGACCACAGAACTATTCTCATAGGACTTACCCTGAATCTTAGGATAATTTGACATATCCTAATCAACTCTCACAAGTTTCTGCTCTTCACATCTCCTTTTAGTAGCTGTCACGTTGTTGCATAGTGAAATCTTGTGGTTCTATATTCTGTCTACTCAGGCTTTAACAGAGTAAGGGCTTAATGCATGTTTTGTTTATTCCTTCCTCAATTACATGAATGTGATTTTCAAAATTTGGCAGATCACAGGTCAAGTGAAAGGTCCTAGTGGAGAGCACAAGTAAGAAGTTAAAATCTGCGAAACCAAGAGAAATGACAGGACAGTGCCAAATGAAAGGTCA